ATCAGAATTGCTCATGTCAGGCCTGATAATATACTGCAAATATTCTCTAATATAAACTATTAAACCTCCGCCTCGCTTTCCATTTTTTCTATCCAAAGAAATTATATTGAAACCTGGTAAAAAAATACTTGAATTCAAATTAGAGTTATTAGAGTTACACCAGGTTTCAGACATGCAAATTAAACTAAAAATATTAAGAGATTCTTTCATGCTTAAATAGAAATTTTCAAAATTCTTTGATATGCTTCTTATATTAATATGAAAAGTGTTAAAATATCTACAGTTAAGAAACTCTTTTATTTCGTCGGCATAGTAATAGGAGCAGTTGCTTTGTAAAGCATGTGCTTCACAAAAGTAATTTAAGTCCGGATCTGATTGGTTATTAAATAAAAACTCATCAGTTCGGAAAAAATTATAACTTAATTCAAAGTCGTTTAAATTAGTGGAATCCATTTTACCATATATACACTGTATGTCACACATACAACAGAATCCGTGTGCTTTTAATTAGATGATGATACATTTTTTACTAAAATAATATGTAGAATTATGAGTAATAAATAAAAAAATCCGATTGACACTAGAATATATAAGAATATACCTATATTTTTGTTTATTACTCTAAGATATACACTATTTTCATCCGCCATTTTAAAATTAAATTGGAGGGAAATAAACACGAACTGATTACTTAATGTGACTTATACGCAATTTTATTGGTTGTTGGAAATATAACAAAATAACATTAAAAACTGTTGATATTTTGCAACTAGAACAATCGGATACACCTGATTTGACACTATTAAAAAAAAAAAATTAATTTCAAAAGTAATACAGCTAAAAAAAAAATTAACAATAAAAAAGAAATTAGCATTAACTCACTTTTTTCAAATTTGGAGATAGAACAAAATAATTCTAACCTGACGTGTTATTGATTCTAATATAGTTGGAAAGTTTGTCTGTTCATTAAATACTATATTATAAAATACAACACCTTTTTCAAATCGTTTAAATTGATTACTGCTTCATTCAAATTATTTACATTTGTAATTGTATCATTTTTCTTAAATATTTTTAACTGATCTTTTTGGAATATTCTCAATTTAGGAGGACTTCGAGAAGTTTTTAAAACTGGCAAAGATGATTTTTTTTTTGCGAAAGTTCACAAGAATACTTAGAAGGAACAGGTTTTAAAAGGCAATTTAGTGTGCATTTATTACCTCTAAGTATATATTTATCTTCAAAATGAAGTTCACATAAAACATAATGTTTTGTTGGAGTCAATCTGAACGATTAAAAAATCGTATCCTATGTTGATTTAAGTTTTGGTCCGTTGGAAAATGAAAAGATTTTTTCATTTTCCAGCAATTTGTTTGTGTTTGTTTCGCTATGTACATTTTGGTGTAGCACATTTGTTTACCATTTTTAATATAAATTCTTTAAAAATTCGTAAATTCAGAAAGAAGAATATTTTTAAAAATAATATTTAAGCGTATTTTGAATCTAAAACTTTCAAAACCGGCCTCTTAATTTCCACCTCAAAAATGTAAGATATACGACCGTCAACATAGTAGAATATACGGCTGTGAAGATATAGGCCATGATGGTTTCCAAGAAAGATCAGAAGTAAGAGTCAATCCTAGAAGATGAAGGGTAGATGACTCATCGAGAACATTACCGTTCATAAATATAGGAAGGTATAAATTATTGCGATAAAGATTTGAGCTTTATCTGAATTAAAGTTCACCAGCTACTGTGAGCTTCATGCTTTAACAGGAGTGAGATCCTTTTCAAGCTCGAATGCCCCCTCCTAGCAATTATTGAGATTTGGCTTCTTATCATGACAAGAATAAATGGTAGTATCATCAACGAACAATGGCACCTCAGATGTGAGAATATCTGGAAGATCGTAAATGTAAATTAAAAAGAGTATAGAGCCAAGGATTGAACCTTGAGGAACCCCTGAGGTTACAGAATAAGAAGAGTGATGTCCATCAAGAACAACTTTTATACTACGATTGAAAAGGAAGGATTCGATAATCTGAAAGATGTTTCCAGATACAACGTAAGAAGGAAACTTATGGAGAAAATCAGTATGCCAAACTTTATCAAAAGTTTTAGAAATGTCAAGAGCGATGGCCTTAACCTCTCCACCTTTACGATAAAACCTCTAGGAAATTACTGTTAGCAAATCAGCCGTAGAACAAGAAGATCGAAATCCATACTGATGATCAGAAAGTTATGAGATTCAAGATGAGAGATTAAGTGTTTGTTAATTAAAGATTCAAAAACCTTGGTTATGATAGAAAGTTGACTAATGGGATGGTAGTTAGACAAATCAGATCGCTCTCCAGAATTTTTAAAAATAGGGATAACAGATGCTGCTTTCCAGCAGGTTGGAAAATAAGACTCTGATAAGCACTTGTTGAATAGTTTTGAAAGGATAGACGACAATTCCGGAGAACACTTCTGGAAGACTATAACAGGTATGTTGTTATAGTCTTCCAGAAGTGTTCCGGGCCACAAGCTGTAGAAGAGTCTAAGCAGGAAATCACTTTAGATACAGAAGCTGGAGTGATACGAATGTCAAGCAATGGATCAACATGTTTGAGAGCTATATCAGGTAGAACGCAACTAGTGAAATCAAGAGATGATGTTAATGAAAAGTTCTAAGCAAACAATTCAGCTTTGTCTTTAGGTGAGGAGACAAAGTCTGAACCATACAAGAGAGGTGGAACTGCAGACTTGCCCTTATCATTGATACTATTAAAGATTCTTCAGAAGTCACGAGAGCCTAATTTTTGTGATGAAATACGAAATTTCATGACCTGAGAATAGTGGGCTTTGGCATTAAAACAAAACTTTGGCATTAAGACAAAACTTTTTTACAATGGTTCCTAGCAGTAATAAACAGACGTCTGTTTTCTGGAGAATTGTTTTGATGATAAATATGGAAGTAATGGTTTCCATTGGCAATTGCAGCAGCATAATGCGAGGAAAACCAAGGAGAGGAGCAAGGCTTGACCTGGAATCATCGAGAGGGAATAGAGGGTTCCATGCCAGCCTGAATCCACAAAGTTATGTAAGAAGCACATTTGTCAATAGTTAGACGAAAGATTTTTACCCGAGGGCCATCACGAAGAAAATCACGGAAAGAGTCCCAGTTAGCTTTAAGGTATATATATTATATATATTTTTTTTTATTTTAGGTGCCCCAAGAAGTCCTTACGGTCTTATCACAGAGCACTGCGGATGAGCATTTAATTGGAAGTTCACGCCTCCTTCCTAACCGTTGTCGCAAAACTTGTCCAGAGGTGGGGTTTGAACCACGGATCATTTGTTTCTGAGGCAAGTGCACAACCACTGCGCCACGGCTGTAAGATGTACAATTGTAGGGGGATTCTGATGATAAAGAAGAATGAGATAATAATTTTCTAAGAGTTCAAACTGTGATCAGAGGCACCTAAGGGTGAATGTGGAGAAACTGAGCACTGACTAGGATCAGAAACAAGACATAAGTCGAGTAGAGAAGGTAAATGATTCGGGTTATCTGGAAAGCGAGTTGGAAAGTTAACTATTTAAGTTAGGCAAAAGTTGAGAAAGGCAAAAATTGTGGGCTTTATTGCCTGCAAAGTCACTGACACTAGAGCCAAGCCATTCAGTAAGATGATTATTAAAGTCACCGACAACAACAATATTTGCTGATGGATAAAAAGAGAGGGCTTTATCAATATGATCAGAAATACCATCAACAAGAGTGCAGTCTTGAGATGAAGGAGAGCGATATAGAACAAAGAGAAAGGTGATAGAGTGAATTAAACGAATTAAAGGAAGATAACCATTAACACTAAGATCACAAGATGAGACAGCTAAACTTAAATTAGTCTCACAAAGAGCAAGTAGGTCTGGTGAACTTTGCAAGAGATAAGACTCAACAGAAGAAAAGTTACTTCGAAGACCACGAGTATTAGTGAATGATAGGTAAAATCCGATGCATCTCTATTTTTAATCCCTGAGGATAAAAATCACCATGTTTGGAAGTCACGTTCTAAGCTAATATAATTTTGAATATGAAAAACATTTAAAAGATAATTTGAAAAACTATATTTAAAAAACAAAATTTTAAGGTCAAACAAATTTTTTTCCAATAATCAAACAAAATTTGGTTGGCAGGGAGAGTACTCTCGAGTCCTTTATAAAGGGTGGTGGTGGGGGAGATTTTAGCCCAATAAACGCACTATGCGTCGCGAAGCGGAAATAGGATTTTACTTACTTTTCAGAAAAAAATTTTCAATTTTAATATTTTAAATATTTTTTAACTGAAACAAGTTAGTATTAGTTAATAAAAAAAAGTTTTTTTTTAATTTTTTTAAATTTGCCTTTTTAGGTGCGGGATTTTCAGGGGTAAAAAAACCCATGTTTTCACTAAATCTTTAAATTACATAAGATAATTTTCAAATTTCTTCATTTTTTTTGCACATTTTCTAATAAATGATACATTTCGTAAATTAAAAACCAAGAAAAGAAAAAAAAAATGTTTGGATCATTGTTTTTGGGTGTCTGTAAAGATTGATCGATTAGACCATGTTACTACAGAGGTAGCCAGTTTTTTATTTTTTTAAAATTTTCTCAAACAAATTGACTTTTTATAAGTGAAATAATATTCTGGCTACCTCTGTATTAACATGCTATAAAATCAATTCAAAAGAGGTGGATTTATTAAAAACCGGTTAGTTAGTTTTTGTCAAGAAGAAACTGGATGCGGGCGGAACATTCTTTTCTAGTCTTTAAGTTATAACCTCAGTTTGGCTCTCATCGTGAATTAGAATTTTTTAAAAATGGTTACTTTTAATCTTAGCAAACTTCTGGCTGATAATTTTCCTCCAAGGCATATCTTCACGAGTAAAAATGTATCTGAATGTGCTAAATTTTTGCAGTCCAAGTTTTTTCACTTTATGCTGATTGCATTGTGAATTTCAACATTTTCAAAAGTCTGGCTTTTAACTTAATAAAAAAATTTAATGAGTGTGGAAAAAGAAAAAAGTTCTTTCTTACTAAATATAAACATTTTTTGGATCAAAATCAACAATGCAAATATCTCTTGTGAGTATAATATATTCTATATTGATTTATTATAAATAAGTAATAAATATTGCATTATAGTATATATATATATATATATATATATATATATATATATATATATATATATATATATATATATATATATATATATATATATATATATATATATATATATATATATATATATATATATATATATATATATATATATATATATTAGGGCTGTACCGGATTTCGGCTCCGGCTACTGTTCCGGCCGAAATCCGGCCATTTTTACAAATCCGGCCCAAATCCGGCTCCGGCAAAAATTTAGCAAATCCGGCATAATTTTAGCCGGAGTTTTGAATTTTGTCAAATATTTATTACATTTTTTTTGCCCGTGTTTACATGTATACCTAATATTTTATTTATAAAAATCAATTTTTTTTGTAATTCTATATTTTATGAACCTCATATTTGTTTTGGTATTTGTATTTATATTTCTTTATAATTTAATAAGCTTAGTCTAATTTCAAACAACAACGCAACAAAAAATTCTGAAGGGAAGACACACGATATTCTACAATGATGCAGGTATAAAGACTATGATGTCAACCCTAATCAAGTGATTGGATGAGCGTTTTAAAAGCATTGAAAAAAGAAACCTCTTTATATACTGACGAGGCTGGTTGACTCACAATTTAAAACTAAATTCTCCTCATTACAGGCTCTTGTTTTTTCAGCTGTCATCAACACTGACAGCTGAAAAAACAAGATTGAAGTCAATATGAGCATGCTGAACAGAAAATTGACAAAACTGAAGAAAATCCACCAAAATAAGCCGGGCTTAATAATTTTTCTACATCATCATCATCATTACTCTGGCAATTTATTGATAAAATTATTCAGTCTACGTCCGCTGGTGGCAGGGCACATAAACAACAATTACTAAAAGGCATTAAAACTCAACTAAGGAAATATCCGAAAGAACCAGAAATAAATAGACACAATGATCCACTACAGTGGCGGAGTGACAAAATTCCGGAAAAAAAGTTCAACAGAATTACTATAAACTTTTAAAACATATGGTCTATAGAATTTCTTTAGAATTTCTTTTAATTTATATATAGAAATTGCTATAAAACTTTTTAAATAACAACAATGAAGTTTAACAGAAAACAGCAGTCACTTGGTATTCTGAATAGTCCACATTGTTGACCATGCTCAACACCAAGTAGGGATGTACAGGATTTTGGCTCCTGTAGTTTTGTTTTGAAATCCGGCTCCGGCTCCGATTCCGGCCGGATCTGTCAGTAGAAATCCGGCAAATCCGGCTCCGGCCGGATTTGAAAAAATTAAATCCGGTACAGCCCTAATATATATATATATATATATATATATATATATATATATATATATATATATATATATATATATATATATATATGTATATATATACATATATATATATATATATATATATATATATATATATATATATATATATATATATATATATATATATATATATGTATATATATATTAGAAAAAGATTCTGAAAAAGAGATTAGAACACATGAGGAAGAACTGCTATTAATTAGAAAAGGTGAAAATCTGATTAAACAGGGTAATCAACTCATCAAGCAGGGTGAGCGTAAAATAAAAGAAGGGGAATTACTGCTTCGTACTCATGGATCCAATGTAAACAGGTATGCATAGATAAATGTATCTCCCTCTTTTTATTTTGCACACACACATACATATTGTTTGACTATGTTTCACAAAACCTTCAAAATGTATATATGTTTCAATGTATTTTTTTATTATTTATAGTGTACCATGTAGAGTGCCTAAATCATCTGCAGTCAATACATCTTGTACACCAAAACCTAGAAAGTCTTTTATTAAGCTTACAAACAGGATGAAGCGTAAAAGAACAGATAGTCTTCGAGAACGAGAGGTGGAAGAACTGCAACATGCTGTCAAAAGGTTTAAATCTAATTCTTCTACTGATGGTAGGGCTATTTTATATGGTTCAAATTTGTCATTGCAAGCTCTTTGTAATTTGAAACTTACAGATAGAACATGGACTGAATTTAAAAATATAGTGACTCATAATCGTCATCTTGTTCCTCCAGGTTTAACCAAGTTGAAGCAATACAAAAAATTGACATATCCAGAACACGTTGAATATTCTGAAACCGAAGTAAAATGTAGTCTTTTCCATATGATAAAGCATTCAGTTTCTAGAGTGTTTGAATATCTTTTGGATTATGAAAGTAACTGCATAATGAGTTTATCACAAGAAGAGCGTGATAATGTACAAATTATTTGCAAAGTAGGAGGTGATGGTCAAAGTGATCAATCGGAGTTTCAAAATTCAGCAACTATGAAAAGAGGTGTAGATGATCGCTCTGTGTATAGTATAGTGTTTGTACTGCTGGAGATCCGAAGTGGAGAAAAAATAATATGGAAAAATTTAATTATAAATAGATGCAACCCGTCATCTTCTTTTTTGTTTTGCAAAAGAGACTGCTAGTTTTATTCAGGAAAAATTTGAACATTTGAAAAATGAAATTTTTTTATTGAAGAATATTGAATTTAAACTTGGTGAAAGTACTTTTGTAGTAAAGTCTAGTTTGTCAACTATTTATACCACAATGAATGATGGCAAAACACTAAACGCTGTTGTATCAAATATGCTTGAAAAAAGAATTTCATCTCAGTCCTGCCATGTATGCCTTGCAAATTCTAAGGAGTTTAACTTGAAAACTATTTGGAAAAAAATATTAACTTAAACAAGCATGTTTTGAAACTTGGAATTTGCAGTCTTCATCTATGGATGCGCTGTATGGAGTGGATTTTCAATACTGCTTGTAAACTCCCAGCTGTTAAGCAAGGAAGAAATATTCCATCACAAAAGAGTAAAGAATTTATTGAAAACAAAAAAAAATTCCAGCATTTATTCAAGATAAAACTGAATATAAGGGTTTCTTTTGTCAGGAAAGGATGTGGAACAACCAATACTGGAAATGTTGCTCGCAAATTTTTTAATAACCCCATTGTGACAGGGAGAATTTTAAACTTGGATATCAGAATGATTAAGTTGTTTCGAGATTTACTCATTGATATAAACAGAACAACTACAAGACCGGATATAAAGGTTTTCAAACAGAAATCTGAACATCTATTAGCACTCATAACTAATGATAAATTTTTAAAAGCCATACCTATGTCACAATCTGTGCATAGAGTGATAGTTCATGGTACTTCTTTTATAAGGTATTTTAAGTATCCGATAGGTTCTTTGTCTGAGAGTGCTATTGAAGCCAGAAATAAGGAAAACAAAACTGCTCGTATTGGACATGCTCGTTTAACCTCTTTTGCAGAAAACACTAGGGATACAGCTAATTATTTGTTTATGACATCTGATATGTACCTCTTTTGCAAAAAAAATAAAATGGATAAAAAAAGAGTGAAAACAAAATAGTTTAAGAAAGCAAAGTGACAGTTCTTCTGATAACTGCTTAAAATAAAGGTAAAATAGTTTTATTATTAATATTGTTAATAGTTTTGATTGATTTTTTTTTGGTTAGGCAATCTCATAATTTTGGTTAATTAACAATTCAAAGTTGCGTTTTTTTTTGTTTTTTTTTTTTATGTTTTTAAAAAAAAATTTAAGAAAAAATTTAATCAATTTTAACAAGCAATTAACTATTTTAGGAAGTAAGACCATGAAGAATCATACTGATGAGCTGTTCTGCGTTGAATTTTTAAAAAACGGCTATTTTCATAGCCACAAGTTATTAAAAACATCTATTAGAATAGAATGTTGAGAAACTATAAAAGAATGCAAAGAGTCAAGTATCATATGATAGCAGAGTTGTTTATTATATTCAATGATACTGTTTATTTTGAAATAGTGTTCATATACATAGTTTGTAAAATTCTATAAAATATAGGCGCCTACTTTTTTTTGAATAAAATCATCCGGACTTGTGTAGTTTTCCGGACAAATCTAGAATTAGTCCGGACTAACCGAAAAAAAATACAATAAATTGTTTTTTAATGAAAACCGAATATGATTCTTTTAAATATAGAAATATAAATAAAAATTTGATGTCTTGTGAAAAAATAAGTTAAATATTTTAAGTCCTTCTTTATTTATATGCCTATTTCCTCATTTTGTATAAGAGCAACGCATAGTGAAACGGTGGGAGGAGTGGGGTATGAATTTTTTTGTTACAATTTTTTATTATTTTCAATTTTTTATTAATTTCAATTTTTTTGTTACAATTTTTTATTATTTTTTATAAAAAAGTTCAGTTTATAAATCCTAATATTTTTTACAAAACCCACATACAACTATATAATTCTAGCGTGGCTTGCGGTTAAACGCGCATTTTCTAACAGCTGTTTTATCATAATTTCAGTAGGATTTAATAAGCTGATATAATTATACTTTGGCAAAAAATAAACCAAAAGCTCATTTTTGACAAATTGAGATTTACTATGATGCCATTTTTTAAACCATGTTTACGCTGAAAGTTCAGTGACTGAAAGAATTATTTTCTAATCTTTAAGGCTGATTTTTAATTAATTTTTTTTTTTAGTTTCGAGGTATAAAGTTTTTTGTTGATAACAAGTAAAAATTAATAAACGGGAGTTCTTTACGCCCCTTCCCCCTTTTATTAAGGACTCGAGAGTAAGCAGCCAACAGCCATTGCAATAATCTAATTATTGCAGTGGTACTATGTTTCCGTCATAATTAAAATAAAATAAATCTAATGATTTTTTAGGTAGCCGTAACTAACATTTGTTTAAAAAAATATCAGCAAAAGCTGTCAATATCTATCAGTAACATAAATATAAATTCTTATAAAAATTATGAAAGTTATGAAAAAACACAACATTCATTACACATTTTGGTGAATTAGTCAGAATTTTAATTGTTTTTAATTTCCTTTTTAGCAGATGATAATCTTTGCGACCGAGTATCATACAGAACCTTTTGTTCGAAAATTCTTTGCATTTTTAATTTTAGCATTTTTTAAATAATGTCCAGAAAAATTAACTGTCAAAAACTACTTCAAACTGACCAAGATGATTGTCAAAACGAATGTCAATAACAAAATCATCCTCTTCAGCAAATCTTTCAACAAGTTGATCGTCAATATTTACAAGAAATCTAAAAAAATTCAGACGTAAATCTGTGGTAAAACAAAAAAGCAAAAATAAAGGTTTTCGAAGTAATTTGTACTTTTAAAGTTCTCTTACCCTTTTTTTGTTTTTTTATAAACGTTTCGAATCATTTCAGAAGGAATGTTATATTTTTTTGATATCTGCAAACAACGAAACCATTATTACATATAAAAACATAGTTGAAATACTGACCTTATATAAATTATTATTACGCATATAAATATTAATTAAATACTGATTTTATATAAGTAAATTATTATATTTATAAATATTAGTTGAAATAATGACTTTAAGTAAAGTTCAAGTAAAGCAAAAATACGTACAGCTTCTTTGAGAACATTCAATGTGGGCGAGGTGAGAAGCAGCGCATTATAAGCCTTTTCTTCTTCTTTACGGACGTATATCGTTACTAATAAATTATATTAAACAGTTAGGTTTGAAATGATAATTGAAAAAACAAAATTAAAAAAAATATTTGTTAACTAAAAAACTCAATATGACCTGTATCTTTCTGGTAAACTCTTTGCGTTTTTAACTTGGGATAAACATCAAGATTTTCAAGATAATCCTGCAGAAAAATGATTTTAAAAATCGTTACTCTTCATTTACTCCGACGCTCCGAATCAAGCTCCGACGGCATTAAGGCTACCTTGAACGTCAGATTTTATATCAGATGACAAGAATGAGGGATTAACAATGACAAAGAAGAAGGGATTAACAACAAGTTGATCAAATATAAATGAAAACTATTTTTTAGAAAAATTTACAAAGATTGTAAAAAAGTTCTTACGCTAGTATTTGACAAAGCATTGTTAAAACCCCGTTTTGTATCTCTCTCCCTAAATAATTCATAACCACACAAATATAACTGAGTTACAAACGTATTCATTTAACATAGCATTAAAATAATAAAACAACAGCAAACAGTAATATAACAGAGAATTCAATCTTACTTTATTTTAGTAATAAAAGCTCCTGGTGGAGAACATAATGAAGAACTTGTTTCTAAAGGCTATAAATATTATTATTTAATTTAAAAGTAAAACTAATTTAAAGAAAAAAGAAAGAAGAAATTAAATTAAAATTAATTATAATAAAAATTAAATTTACTGATGCAATCTTATCTTTGATTGGAATAAATACAAATGATTTTGTTATTGGGAACGGAGAATCTTTAAGAACTGTTACTTTATTTGCAATTTGAAATGGACTAACTTCAATTGTACTAAAATCTGCACATATTTAAAATTAAATTTAAAAGATTTAAAAGTTCTGTTTTGTACTGTGTAATTCAGTCCTGTTATTCTGTTATTTAATTTAATTTAAAAGTTCTGTTTCGTTCTGTATAACTCAGTACTGTTATTCAAATATCAAATAGCGAAATCGATTTAAAACATAGAAAAAATAAAAATAATTTACAAACCTGGCCCTTGCTTTAAATATTTCACCATACGTTTACCAACTGTCTTCGATTCCTCTTTATTTTTTCTTTCAGCCCCCTAAACAATCAAAAGTTTTAAAATACATTAGACTATACAAATACAAGCTTGGATAGGTTACTTGATGAAATTTTTTGCAAAATTAGCATAAAAAGATTTCAAAGAAATTCTCATCCTCTAATCAATACCTTTCAGGTACTTTATCAAAACTACCTTGTCTCTGAAAATTTTAATTTTGCAAAAAGCTTGATGAACGGGTTGAGCATTTTCTGACATATCTTCGTAAGTGTCAATTTGAATATAAAGTGGTAACCCCTATTAATAACATATTCTAATAAAATAATATAAACTGAATTTACACTTACACAATAAATTACATTTCATACTACATTTTTACAATTTATAGCGTAATTATTGGTTTTAATACTTCTGTTGTTTTTATGGTTGCTATAATATAACTATTGCACAAATATAAAAAATTTTGCGCATATAAATTGTCTAAAGTTTTATCCGAATTGATTTTAGTCTTTTTTAAAAATCATATTCACTAAACCAAGGCTCAAGGACCAATATAAGAATACCCACTAAAAAAGCTAAACATTTTTTTTTTTAAAAACTGCTGTCAGTCTTAAGAGAAATAAATTTCTAACAACTCTATAAACGCAATAGGGATCTTCCATTAAGTATATACACAAGTATGGGTGGGGGTGGGGGTGGGGGGTGGAGGAGGAGGGATTACCCAAAAATGTATGGATTTGTACAAGGGAGGGAAGTTAAGACAGTGAGTATGTAGGGAAGTTAAGACAGTGAGGATGTACGCAGTTCAACTATCTCTTGTTCTGTATCTATCCATAAAACTTCATTTCTTTTTTTTAAGAAAAGCATTGAATTTCAAAATTTAAAAAAATCAATATTATGTTTGTAACAGAGATACACCAAATTAACTAAAAAATGTTTAAAAAACTTTATATGTTGGGGAAAGAGGGTTAATTTTGTAATAAATGTGTATGGCGCGCTCAACTTGTTTCTCCGCGCAGCGGCCTTGTTCATCAAGGTTCGAGTTATAGAGTTGAAAGAGGGTTATAACCACAATTAAGTAGCCTCCTCGTCTGTAGTGGCCTTCTCGGCCCTGGGGAGGTGAAATAACAAAAAAAAAAAAAAAAAAAAAAAAAAAAATGTACACAGGAGGCAGAGGGGGTTGTTAAAATACAAAGAGTTGAATACAACGGGGAGGGGTTTTAAATCAACGCATGTACCCCATACACAAAATGGGGGCATCCATAAGTACTGTGTACGTACTTATGGATGCCCCCATACACAAAAATTAACTATGTGACTTAAAAAATTATACTTAAATGTTGATAATATTGATGAAAATATAAAATTAGATATAGATGTAAATGAGAAAACTAAAAGTGCTGATGAGTAATAAAGTTCTGAACTGTGTATAATATATAACTTTATAGTCATTGGTCTACTATGTAAATTTTTTATATAGAAATTTTAATCAAGTATCATTAGACTTTATATTAAAAATTGCTGACTAATTTTTTAATTTAAGAGAGTAAAAGTTTTAACTATGCAAAGTTTACACCCCCTTAAAAATTAAAAAACCAAATTTTTAATTCAAAAGAAAGAAAAGTTTTTCTTTTTATATTAATATTTTTAAATGTTAATTTAAGAGAGTAAAAGTTATAACTATACAAAGTTTACACCCCCTTAAAAATTAAAAAACCAAATTTTTAATTCAAAAGAAAGAAAAGGATTTTCTTTTTATATTAATATTTTTAAATGTAAGACAATTTGGTGACAACTCTCATTTGCTGCAATTCTCATTTTTAGCAAAAACAATGTTTATATGACTTGCTATAAAAAAAAATTATAAAAAAGAAAAGAAAAAGAATTGCATGTGATTCTCTATTGGTTTTGGTTAGGCTTTAGTTATGAATATAGTCTTAACAATGGCTAGTAAAGAATTATATTAATTACTGAAAAGATGGTAGTAAGTAAAGAAATTAATATTCTACCTCTTCACAGAAGTAATTTTACATTAAACTCTTTTTTTAAATTTAAGTTAAAATTATTTTTTTTTGTTATTTTTTAAGTTTTTTTATTTTATCTTATTTTTAAAAACTACTACACATTAGTTACTTAAAACCCATTATGTAAACTGACACATTACATATAATAAGTAATACTAATTATCATCAACTTGGCTTATTTTTTGAAAAATTGCAAATTTTTTTATTAATTCAATTTAATTTTTTAATGCTATTTGCACCAAATGGGGCCTAGGGAAGAAGTGTATACAAGTTTCTTGCAATTTAAATTTCTTGAAATTTTTTTTAATACCTGAAAAGTGATTAATCTTACCCTGATGGTTAGGGTGAGATTAATCAAACAAGTTATGTTCCTCTCCCAAATTAATTTTGTTGTAGTAATATATGTTTTCTATGGCTCAGCACTATTGAAAGATGTTTCAAGATTATCAAACTACTTGCAGACACTTTTTTTATATATCTTAGCATGAGCTGGCTTGACATTGTTGGCAATTTTTTCCATTAGCTGGAGATGTTTTTTGAAGAACTTCATCTAACAAATCCTGGACAGTTATTTTTCAAACAACAGTCTGATATCTGACTTGTCTAGGTATTCCTTCACTAACAGATACATATCAAGACTGATGAGAGGAATTTTAAAAACACCAAGAAAATCTATTACCTATAATATATTGTTCACACTGTTGACAAACGTTTCTATTGATTTTTTTGGTATGTTTGTTCTTACAACTTATATGCAATGTACTGAATGGTATTCCATGTTGTTGAGCTGCTTATTGCATTGCAAGTTGATGATAGGCGACTGGCACCATGAAAACCTTCTAACAAATAAAATGTTCTGTGCTTTTGAAAGAATAGTTTACATGCATTTAACTACATTGTTAAAAAACATTAATTATCCAATAGTTTTAAATTGTAATTTTGGAAAATTAATAAATTTTCAAAGTATGACAAAGCACTTTGAAACTTTGAACTTTCAGTGATGTTAGACTGTCTAAAAAACAAAATAGATGCAAAAATTGTGGCCATTTATGAGCCTCATAATGGTCATAATTTGACCAATAGACAGAATTTAAATTAGTGAGACTAATTTAAATTCTGCTATTCCTTCTTCTGATCTTAGTATTGATGGGTACTATCCTTTGATTCACAAAGATTCCAATAACCACATGCTTGGCTTGGGGGTATCCATACGCATCAATTCACCTATTTGTCAAGAAATCTGGTTTGAATCCTTTGACCATTCTTTTATGTGCTTCCACTTAGCACCACTTCACTCTATCACCTTTCTCTTTGTTCTTTATCGATATCTCCTTCCCAGAAATGCACTCTTTTAGATGTAATTTCTGATGGAATTGACCATGCCTTTTCTCTTTACACCTCTGCCAATATCAATGTTATTTCTGACTTAAATGCTCATCACACTGAATTTAGGAGTTCTGAGGGTTGACTAACTGAGAGTTAGAGCTTGGCTCTAACCCCACTGACCCTGCTGGCACTATAGCCTATAACTTCTGCATTTCTTAATCTCTTACTTAGATAGTTAACTTTGTGACTCGTTTTCCTGACAACCCTAATCATTTTCCTTCACTCCTGTTCTGTTTCTTTCACTCCTGTCTGTTGGAAAATGGTATCTGTTGTTCCAATATTCAAAAACTCCGGCAAACATTCTGATTCCTCTAATTATCGTCCGATCAGTCTTCTTTCCATTATTATCGAGGCCTTTGAGTCTTTGATAAACAAACATCTCTCATTTTCCCATCTTGAGTCAAATAACTTACTGTCAGGTAATAAATACAGTTTTTAATCCTCTTGCTCTACGGCTGACTTGCTAACTGCTGCAACTGAAAGATTTTATTGTGCATTATATGGAGGCGGAGGGTTAGGGCTATAGTTAGGCATGCTGGTCTTCTCCATAAGCTTGTTTCATATGGTGAATCTGGGAAAGTTTTTGAGATTATCAAATTGTTTCTAACCGCTTTATTAAAGTCATGCTCAAAGGCCAACACTCTTCTTTATTTCAAGTAGCTTTTGGGGTACCTCAAGCTTCTATCCTTGGTCCTGTTCTTTTTCTTATCTACATTAATGATCTTCTTGGCAACCTTTTATCTAAAGTAGCTCTTTTTGTTGATGACTCAATTTTATACTCCTGTCTTGACAAAAAGTCTTCTCTTTTTGATCGCTTAGAACAGGCAGCCGATCTAGAATATATCTCACTTCTCTAACAGATTAAGGCTCACAGTGGTTTGTAAATTTTAACCACAATAAAACTCAGTTGTTTACTGCAAACAACTATCTCAGTACTGTCGACATTCCTATATTAATGAATGGCAATGCTCTCACTGAGTCCTCTTCTTTATGTCTTCTTGGATTATTGTTTACTACTGACCTTTCATGGAAACCATATATATTGGGTTGGGGAATAAGTTTGTTCGGTTTTTTTCAAAGAGAATTATTTAAAGGATTTGTTTGTAGTTAAGCAAAGTGTTTGCATTCATTAGCATTTTCTGCTCTACAGAACTGTGTTATTTGTTTTTTCGAATATTTTAAGTTTTTCCTATTTTCCACCCTTAGAAATGGTGGAAAATAAGAAAAAATACCTAGGTGGCAAAAATTAGTACGCAGCACAGAAATGGTTTGCGAAGTTCAAAAACGGCGACTTTGACCTCAAAGACATACCTCGCAGCAGACAACCCACAGAATTCATTGAGGAGCATTTCAAGGCACTTTTGAAGGAAGATGGTTGCCAAACAAGTTGTGAATTGGCCAAAAAAATGAACTGCGATCATAAGGTAATCCTGAATCATCTTCACTCAATGGGATTTGCCAAAAAACTTGGAGCCTGGGTGCCTCACAAGCTTAATGAAGTCAACAAAGAAAATCGTCTTCAAAACGCTGCTCAACACCTTACACACCTTCGAGCAATACGAGGGCATAAACATGCGTTTTTTGTACCGAATTATCACGAGAGATAAGAAATGGTGCCTGTATGTCAATATGAAACAAAGAAAGGAGTGAGTGGCCCCAGGAAACACACCTATGCTGAGATTCAAGCAAGATCTCCACCCAAAAAAGACCATGCCATTGGTGGGAATGGGAAACCCACCCAAAAAAGACCAGGCCTTCAGTGGGAATGGGAAAGCATGATACACAAAGAAATGCTTGAAAGGAACACAATGGTCAACAAGGAGCTCTACATTGCCCAACTACACCATGTAAATGAGTCTATGCGACTGAAAAGACCTGACTGACAAGACCAATCTTGCTCCACAACAATGCCAGATCCCATGTTGTACAAGTCGTTAAAATCACACTCCAAGAGCTTGAATGTGAGATTACTCAACATCTACCAAAGAGGACCTCAAAAATTGGCTCAACAACTTCTTCGACACCAGACTGGTCGATTTTTGGCAGAACGGCATCAACAAATTGGTCGAGAGGTGGGAGGAGATTGTAAACAGTAACAACAAATACATAATTGATTAGTATATATTTAATAATTTATAAAAATAAATTTTCAAATTATTTTAAAAAAGATTTTTAAACATAATTTAAAAATGTAATAAAAAAAATTTATTTTACGTTAAACCTATGTCTTGGTTTATTTTAAACTTGTTTTTCTGAGCATTGGCTTTGTTCATAAAGTTTGCGCATTGGTCTTGTTCGTTTCTCAATTAAAGTAAGCATTTACTCCTAAGCAGAAGCTTAGGAGTAAATGCTTACTTTAATTGAGAAACAAACAAGTACTGACATTTTTCTTGTGGGATCCATTTCTCCAAATATTTCCAGGATGAAGCTTCCAACATTTCGTCAAGTTCTCTCAGTATCATAACAATTTTTATTCAAATATTTTTATAGATTTCGATTTTTTTTGTTATTCAGCTCCCAAGTCTGAGAAGACCACTATAGTTAAAGAGGCTACCTTATTGCGGTCACAACCCTCTCTCAACTCTAATTCTGAAATTTGAACCTTTATGAACAAGGCCAATGCGCAGAAAAACAAGTTTAAAATAAACCAATACATATAGATTTAGCATAAAATTAATTTTTTTTATTACAGTTTTAAATTATGTTTAAAAATGTTTTTTAAAATAATTTGAAAATTTCATTTTATAAATTATTAAATAACATTATATAAAATATATTTTAAATAAAGTTAAAGTAAAAAATTATATTAATTTTTAATATCATTAAACAAAAAAATAAAAAAAATTTAACAGATATGCAATTAACTCCCCCCCCCCCCCCCAAAAAAAAAAAAAATCCACTGGGCCAGGTGTTTTTTAAAAAAACCCTGGGTTTTTGCTAACTCTTTTATTTTTATTTTTCAATGATTGTTTTGACATACCAACCATATATGGTTTTCTAAATTATTCATTTTCCAGTTCAAAAAAAATATGAGAATATTGCAAACTTATTTTTTTATTAAATGCTTTTTTATTTACAGTTATAGTTATGTGAAAATAACTATACCATCAATATGAATTTATAGAGGATTGGACTTATAGAAAATTGAACTTATAGATGATAAAACTTATAGAAGATTGGACTTATAGAGGATTTAACTTTTTTTAGAAGGTTATAGAAAACTTTTTTAGTAGATTGAACTTTATAGTTTGAACTTGGAGCAATAAAAACTTTTTTTAAACAATTGAACCAAAGAGCATTATTAGCATTTCTATTTTTTTCAGGTCAGGCTATCCTGCTACTAGTAACATGTAACCCAGTACAACCTGGTTCATGCCCTGCTACCTTATAGGATACACTTTTTAAGGCAAAGGCTAGGAGAAGCCAACTCTAACTTAAAATACCCTCTGCCTATGGCTCTTGGTTAAGTAAAGGCTAGAGATGGTGTCTTGATAAAAATACTCATCAAAAATACTCATGGTAATTTTTATCCTCAGGGATTAAAAATAGAGATGCATCGGATTTTACCTATCATTCACTAATACTCGTGGTCTTCGAAGTAACTTTTCTTCTGTTGAGTCTTATCTCTTGCAAAGTTCACCAGACCTACTTGCTCTTTGTGAGACTAATTTGAGTTTGGCTGTCTTATCCTGTGATCTTAGTATTAATGGTTATCTTTCTTTAATTCGTGAAGACTCAAATAGCCACATGCTTGCCTGGGCATTTACATTCATAAGAATTCACCAATTTGTCGGGCAACTAGGTTTGAATCTGCAGACTATTCTTTTATGTGCTTTCGCTTAGCACCACTTCACTCTATTGCCTTTTCTATTTGTTCTATATCAATCTTCTTTATCTTAAGACTGCACACTTTTCGATGTTATTTCTAATCAAATTGACCAAGCCCTCTCTTTATCAATCAGTCAATATCGTTGTTGTTGGTGACTTTAATGCTCATCATACTGAATGGCTTGGCTCTAGTGTCAGTGACTCTGCAGGTGTTAAGACCCACAAATTTTGCCTTCCTCAATTTCTAACTCAGTCAACTTTCATACTCGCTTTCCAGACAATCCCAATAATTTACCTTCTCTACTCGACTTATGTCTTGTTTCTGATCCTAGTCAGTGCTGAGTTTCTCCACATTCACCCTTAGGTGGTCATTCTTGTTTTTCATCAGAATCCCCTTATCATCGTACCTCTTAAAACTACCTTAAAGCTGAATGGTCCTCTCCATAAGCTTTCTTCTTATGGTGTATCAGGTAACATCTTCAAGATTATTGAAACCTTACTTACCATTTGTAGTATTAAAGTTTTTCTTGATAGACAGCACTCTTCTTCATATTCTGAGGTTCTTCAAGGTTTTATCTATAGCCCTATACTCTTTTTAATTAATATTAATGATCATCCAGATATTCTCACATCTAAAGTGGCATTGTTCGCTGATGATACTAGCACTTTTCTTGTCTTGAAGCCAAGATTCTCTGATTGTTTGGAGGGGAATTTGAGCTTGAAAAGGATCTCACTTTTGCAACAGCATGGGGCTCACAGTGGCTGGTCAACTTTAAATCAGATAAAACTCAATTTTTTTCAGCTAACCCTTATCACAATAATCTAGATCTTCCTATATTTATGAATGGTAATGTACTCGATGAGTCCTCTACCCCTCCTCTTCTAGGATTAACTCTTACCTTCAATCTTTCTTGGAAACCATATATTAAATCGATTGCAAAATTAGCATCTGCTAAGGTTACATCTCTTTATCGTGCTTGCCACTTTCTTACTCCGGTTTCTATTCTTTATCTCTATAAACCTCAAATCTGTCCTTGTATGGAATACTGTTGCCATATATAAGGCGCATCTTCTAATGATGCCCTTTCTCTTTTAGACAAGGTACAAAAGCGCATTGTAAACATAGTTAGACCTGCTCTTGAAGCCAACCTCCAACCATTAATACATCATCGTAATGTTGCTTCTCTTTCTTTTCTCTATAAATACTATAATGGGCTAGCTCTAAAGAGCTAGCGTCTCTTGTGCTATCTACTAGAATTCATTTTTGTGTTACTTGCCATTCTATTAAGCCTCATCCTTTTACTGTGACTTTTCCTAAGTTCTCTAAAAATTCTTTTTCTCCCAGTTTTTTTCCTTGAACATCAGTTCTTTGGAATTCTCTTTATCTTGTTTTCCTAATTCATATAATTTGCAATCTTTTAAGTCGTCTGTCAATCGTTATCTTGCTAAATTTCATCTTTTCTCTTCCAGTAACTTCCAACTTCAATTGGTTACTTGCAGACTTTTTGGAAATGAAGATGTTGAAAAAAAAGATGTGCTATATTTTTATGCCATAAAAGCTTATTCCTTAGACAATAAATCTTTGTTATTTTTAGTTATAATTAAATCTAAATTTAATGCTTAATGCTTAAATCTAAATTAATGCTTAATGCTCAAATCTAAATTTAATGCTTTTAAATCTAAATTTAATGCTAAGGGCAATTATTTATAATATCAGAAATTTTTTAAGTTGTTTTTTAACATTTTTTAACAAACTGTTTTTACAGGGTTATTCATTTTTATATGCGCGTCTAGTCATTTTTATATGCGTGTTTATTCATTCTTATATGTGCATTTATTCATTCTTATATGCGCATTTATTCATTCTTATATGCGTGTTTATTCATTCTTATATGTTTATATGTCAACCACCCATAAAATCTCTAATATAATTTAATATAAACAATAACTAGGTTTTTAAATTTTTATATAGATATATTAATAATTATTATAAATAATTAAATTTAAATCTTGATAAATGAATAATTAGATAAATAATAATTTAATAAATTAAGAAATTTAATAATAAAATTGAACAAAGACCTAATACTAAATTAAATAAACCGCCATCAAATGTAAAAAGTCTTTGTATTAAGTATATTTAACCTCATTTACCAGAAAATAAGAAAAATTTGTTTTAAAAAAATAAATTGTTTTTTCAAAACAAATTGCCTAAATGATTTCTTTTTTGTTCAAATTGTTCAAAAACGCATATAATGATGAATAAATGCGCATATAAGAATGAATAAACATGCATATTAGAATGAATAAATGCGCATATAAGAATGAATAAACACCCATATAAAAATGAATAGACAAGCATGTAAGAATGAATAACCCTGTAAAATCATTTACTTATAATTACATGTTTTGTACTGTTATTTTAAACTGATCTAAAAAATCTGTTTTTAAGACATCAAACATGTTGAAAAATCAAAGCAAATATTAAAACTTTATTGTCCACTGAACTACCTAAAACATATTTAAAATTGGGACAGCTATATTTGTTTATTTTATTAATATAAAATTATACCTTAACACCTTTCTGTGGAGTAAAATCTGTACTAAGACAATTTATTCGAAATGATACCTAAATATACACAAAACGTTCAAAAAACATAATAAACTGGCACATAAACATTAAATTTAACTTAATACCAAATGCAAAACAACATATACAAACTAAAAATAGTTCTATACAAATTACTAAAAAAAAATAATATTAATCATTATTATGTGTTAGATTTAAAACAAATAGATTATTTTGAAAATAACAAATAATAAAAAACTGACTTTAGCTTTTAAATAAGGTGACCACAAGAAAGCTAGGGCATTATAACCATACTCTTCATTATCAATGATGACATTTTGACATGCCTTTCTTTCAATATCAAATGCTCGTTGATTGAAGTTTGGTTGTTGGTTGTACCAGTACTTCCAGTTTGTCAACTCAGTCATCTCGTCCTTTTCGTCGCGAAACACCAGATGTATGATTGACTAATGGAGAAATATTAGCAAACCTTAAAATGAAAAAACTTTCTTCATTTTTTAACAAAATACAGCATGCCACAGTGTTAAAGATTAATAGGAACCTTTTCCATTAAGTTTCAACTTTTTAACTCCTTAATGGTTTACACATGGTGGCCACAAAATTTTAAAAGTTAAATTCCAGGACATTTCCAGGACATTCCAGGACATTTTGTTGCGTTTTCCAGGACATTTTATATCTTATTAAATGAATACTATCAATTATCTTTACGGTATATTTTTTTCATATTGATTGAATTATAGAATAGAATATTATATCATTATATTATTATATTATTATTACTCTCTTATTTAAAATTAAATTCAAACCATTTATATAAAAAAAATTTACGCATAAAAAATTTAATATTACTTCAATATTCTTAGTAATTTTTTAACTTGACTCAGAAAAAAAAAACGTTCCAGGACATTTCAGGACATTTTTGAAAAAAATGTAATTTTCCAGGACAAATCAGGACATTCCAGGACACTTGCAAAAATTCAGGACATTCCAGGACTGTGGCCACCATGTTTACAAGAAAGCATTAATAGGAACCTTTTCCTTTAAGTTTCAACTTTTTAACTAAAAAAATGATTTACAAAAAACCAATAAAAATGAGAGAAAAATCTAAACATTTTAAAGCTAATATCACAATTTTAATGTATAAGTAATAACTATATTATTTGTTGAAATGAATGTGACAGCAGACTAAGTTAGTTGCTACAATATCAACTAATAGTACTAATCAAAGAAATGTAATACACATTATTGGCATAAATGTTTTCAAAAGTATTATCAAATATTGAAAAAGAGAGGGTAATTTTTTGAAATTAAAAAAAAAAAAAAGACAAAAAATCTTATGGAAAAAATATAGACAAGTTCTGTTTATTTAGTGATTTAATGAATAAGATTTAATAATAATAAAATTTTACTGATTTTTAAATTTATATTACAATCTTAAAAACTTTTTATTTTTTAACATTTTCCTTAAGATTTCAAATTTCTTATATCATTTTTATATTCATTTTATCATCGTTATTATCATTTTTGTTCACTTTTTTTATTTTTATTGTAACTAGAATTATTAGTCATATTATTGTTACTTCATTTTAATATTTTTGTTGTAACTACAAATTATTAGAAGATTATTAGTTATATTATTGTTACTTTATTTAATAATTTTCTGTAAAAGATTTTATTTGTTTTTTATTTTATGTTTAACTTATGAATTTACATCCCCAAGACTTGAGAGCTATCACATTCATTTAGGCTGATAATTAATTTTTTTTTTTTTAAATTCAATCAACTTTAAACTCAGTAACACAAACTTTGCTGAATAAGGCTTCTGTACAAAAAAACAGGTCGAGAGCATCATTCTGGACACAGAGTGAATTTAAACCATTTGATTTGAGTGTTCTAGCACTAACCTACAACATAAGTTTGTTTCCAATGACTAATTGCTAAGAAGTACCTAGACAGATAGAGGGCAATCAAGGGGAGACCAAAAAGAACCAAGGGAAGATAGAAAGGGACTTTATGGTTGGTACCTAAATAACTAAACTGTAATACTTTTACTTAATTTAAATAATAAAATTAATTTTATTTAATTAACTGTAAAATTTCTGTAGAAATAACTTTTCTTTCACTTGTTCTTCTTTGATACTTCCAAGTGTCCCTGTGTATCTTTGATACTTCCAAGTGTCCTTAGCCATCTGTAACCTCTTGGTTTTCCTCAACATGTACTATTTTTTGACACCTTAAGTGTATTAGAAATTTACATCTTTTTATCATCACCAAATCCCATTCTGCCACTAAATAGTCTCCTGGAATTCGCTCAGTGTATCTAACTAATTTAAAATACTAGTTTGATCACCTTTTTCCTATGTAGCTGTTTTGTATTAGAATTAGATGCTACTCACATCTTTCTTCTAAAATTTAATTCACAGATCAATAATGAGTATTCTTACTGTGGTAAGAACCGCAAGGAAATTCACCATGCAAGGTTTACAAGCTCATTCTACCTACAACTAATTTGAGGGTTTTATATCAGAGCTTTTGTTCTTCAAGGTATGTTGCTTTTACCACAGCTAAAGAGTTTCACAGAAAATCACAATTAGTTTTAACTAGGTGCATCAACCATTCATGCACTAATTCACATCTTTTCTATTATTCTAAATATTTTTGAAAAGACCAGTATTAACAAATACAAGTTAATGCAGTAAAACGCCTGCTCTCAATATTACTTAAGGTGAGTTTCCACTCATCCATTTTTTCACGGGAACAGGAAAGGAATGGGAAAAATAATCACGTGAGCATGCGTAGTTTTCCTTTGGACATATTAAAATGCATGCCCACGTGATTATTTTCCCCGTTCCTTTCCCGTTCCCGTGAAAAAACAGATGAGTGGAAACTCGTCTTTATTGTATAGTTGATCAATAATAAAGTTTCCTTAGCATTAGTTGAAAGATTATTTGTAGATACTCCTTAGCTAAACAACATCTTCAGATATAAAAAGTACTAAAACATACACAAATATTTAAATACTAAAAAATAAATATTAAAATGTAAAAATATTAAAGGTGTACCGGATATTGTTGCCGGATATGCCGGATATTGAACTTTTCTAAAGTTCTATATGTGTTTATAAAGAAAAAATAAGTCTTGGCAGTCTACAATGAAAAGCATTCAAGATCTTTAAAAAATCAAGAGAAAAACTGTATGGGATATGTGCTGACGAAGTATAGAAAATAGTAACTTAAAAAAACAAAAATTTGTCTGTAAAAACGATTTTTCCTTATACATTATTAACGCATATACCTGTGTTATACCAGTTTTTTATTGATTTTATTTTTTTAAATCTTGAACACTATTTAATGTAGAATAGCAAGACTTTTTCTTCATAAACACTTATAGAACTTTAGAAAAGTTCAATATCTGGCATATCCGGCAAAAATATCCGGTACACCTCTATAAAGTATATTAAATATAAAATATTGTATATTGAGGAAATTATATTACAAATTCGGGTAATAAAAGATTTTTAAAGTGTTAGTTCTTTAACTGCTTTACATAAAGAATAATATAGTGAAGAACGGAAATCTACTTTTAAATTAATTTGAAAAAAAAAAAAAAAAATGATTCTATTTAAAAGGCACACTTTTAAATAGAATCATTTAAAAGTGTGCAACAAAACATACAAAAAAGCATAAGATCACAAATTACTCAAGAATTTATATTATAACTTATTACCTCTAACAATAGGGAAAAAAACTAAAAAGTTTTGATTTTAAATTTTACTTTAACCTATATAACAATTTTCTCCATTATGGTTTGCTCATTGATTTTGCAACAAAAGCAACTGTAAAACATGGTCATTGCTTTAATATATATATATATATATATATATATATATATATATATATATATATATATATATATATATATATATATATATATATATATATATATATATATATATTGAACTTTTGATAATCTACATTTTAAATTAACAGTTAAAAGAACAACTATTTATGGAAACTGTCGATTTTTATACTAAACCAAATATAAACTAAACTTTTTTAAACTGTCTTTTTAAGCTGGATTTTTAATTTCATGTTTAGCTTACCTAGAATTTGTAAGAAAAAAAACCTTCCCCTGTTTAACAAAAGCCTAAAGTTTATGAGAGATTTTTAATAAATTTTATCTCTAATAAACTGTAAAGATTTCTTTATTTCTAGTTTATTAGAGATAAAAATTTCTAACCTAACCCTCACCAAATGTATTTAAAACCTAAAGGAAAGATTCCTAGCATCATTTTACTATGCGACAATACTGTGTATCTTAAATGTACAAAATTTAAAATAATATAATATACACATGTTACAATAATATAATGTGCACAATGTATATCTTTATGCTAGAAGGTGTTCTATGTACACAAATGCATAGTAAACTAGAATCATAACTATTCAAGATGTTATTTGAATATATAACTTTTAAGTGCACTCTACTTTGTATGTTTAGGTTTCAATATATGTAAAAATAAGTAATATTAGAAAATAAAAAAATCTGAAAACAAATTAAAATACGTTTATTTACCTTTGCCCGGCTGCATTTATTTTCAGGACCTGATTCAAAAGTGATGTAGTAAAATTGACCTAAAATAAGTTTGTAAAACAAATATGTAAGTTGTTTGTTATTATAAGCAACCTAATAAGTACGATTGGACAAGGATATTTCACACAAATATTTTGAGATAAAAACCTTTGTTCAGGTAGGTCAGTGTTTCATCTTCGCGCTTTTGAACAACAGAAGTCTGAGCTTCAAGTATAAAAATATATCTAAAAACAATTTTCTATAAAAAAGACTAATAATTTATTATTAATATGATTATTATTTATTATTATTATTATTTGAACTAGATTGATAAACTTATAGATTAGAATTCAAAATTTTGTTAGAGAAATTTAACTACACCACACAACACCAACAAATAGAAGTTGGCTCTAAGAAAATATCAGTGGATTTGTGATGCATTTAGAACTTTGTTGCCAAAAATCCAGCATGAAAATCTGAAGAAAATGTTTTTAGTAGTCCATGTAAAAAAGGAGAGAGACTTAAGAAGGCTGTTCTATAAACCTATTGTATTCATTTTCTGTTATTTTTACTTAACAAAACACTTTAAGTCTTAAAGACTAATTCTTAAACAACTTTTATTTACAATTTAATTATTAAAAAAAAAAGTATTGAAATAATTTATAAAATAGTAATTTAGCCCTATTTAGTTTACTTTAAGAGTTTGATTAAGATGGTTGGACACAAATTGACCCCCCCCCCCAAAAAAAAAAAAGAACTTTTGATTTAAGATCACTTTGAATTAAACTTTATATTATACAAAATTTAAGATTTTTAATATATACTAATTATTTTTAAAATTTTTATACAATTTATTGTCCTTTTGACTAAAATTAATAAATTGATATTAAATTAAAATAATAAATTGATAATAAATAAAACTAATAAATTGATTCAACTAATAAATTATTTTGATATCACAATGTTCAATAGTTTGAGTGAAAATAACATTTTCAGAAATGCTTTTTTTCTCCCTGATTTTTATATTAGTTATAAGCAAACTAAAGAAACGAGACTGAAATAAGCAAAATTGGACAAGAATTACCCCCAACAACAATTTTTGATTAACCGCATCAATTAGTAGCACAAATTTTACATTAAAAATAATTTGTATAAGTTACAAAGTCAAAACATATTGGGTATGTTTTCACTTTGTAACTAGATGTGATGCAGCATATGGTGTGTTTGCAAGAAATTGTAAGCAACCTATACCATATATAATTTTTTCAAATAATAATAAAGTTAAATATATATTATAATTTTACAGAACCTTCCTGGAAAAGCTAAAAAAAAAAATGAAGCAGCTTTAACAGCAATGCAGGTCTTAAAAATTTGGGGAAAATGCAACATACCTTATGCGTCATCATTTACATCATTGACAAAGATGGCAACCTTTTTGAGCAGAGCAAAAAGCTGCAAAAAATTTCAATTGCTGACAGAGAATATAAAAAAACTAATTTCTGTCACACCTATCTGGAAAAGTGAAGCCCTGGAAAACTAGCTCATTCTAGATGGCTCACCACTGCCAACAGGATCCTCAGATTATATATTTCTACCACCAATCCTTCATCAAATTTAGTAACTATAGGAACATACATTATGCACATTTATGCCCCTATGTGGTTAATCATCAAAGAGTCTTTTAATTTTTATGACAGCAGACATCTATGCAGCTCAATAGTCAAATCACGGAATCTGCCAAATGCATTATGTAAGGTAATGAACAGAGTTATTCAAACAACAGCATTCTTTAGTCATCAAGAATATATTTTTCTGGCAATCAGAGCTAGAGAAGAAAGTAATATGAATGCTCATCATACTAGTGTGTGGCAATTCAAAGTTCCTACTCTCTGTTTTATGGCAAATCTATCAAAGTTCCTAATCTCCGTTTTATGGCAAATATCTGAGTTGATTTATTGGAGTAATACACAGCAGACAAAGCCACTACTAACAATGTATCTAGCTGATTAGCCACTACTAACAATGTATGAACTGAAAGAAGTAAAAGAGAATCACATTCAACTAAGTAATCTTTTGGAAAAGTTACAATGCCACACACAAGCTGTAGATTATTGTGTTAAGATGGTGACAGCTGTTTCTGCCTCATTTTGCGTCAAAATAAAAAGAGATGGTATGATACATGCCAATATTTAACACCAAGCACATTATAACACTAGTAATATTTTGCGTGTTAATATTATGTAATAAATTCACCTATTCAACTCCTTCAAAATAACATGTTACAGGGTTATTTATTCTTATATGCGCGTCTATTCATTTTTATATGCGCCTTTATTCATTCTTATATGGGCATTCATTCATTTTTATATGCGTCTTATTCATTCTTATATGCGCATTACTTTTTTCATTCGACGATGGTTTATTTAATTTAGTATTAGTTCTTTGCTTTTGATGATAGTTTATTTAACAGAATGTAGTATTAGTACTTTGTAATTTTATTATCATTAAATTACTTTGTAATTTTATTATTATTATTATTAAATTTCTTGATTAAGTTATTATTTATCTAATTACTCATTTATCTAGATTTAAATTTAATTATTTATAATTATTATTAATATCAAACTATACATCCCTATAGATGGAATAGAAAATAGCAGTACCAATCATAAAACAAGGAAAAATGTTACAAAAGAACACATTGAAATGCTTAAATATTTAATTGAAAGAAATCAATCTACAACAAGCATTTCCACTTCTCTTTATTTATCGAAGCACACAGTTCAAAATCTTATTGTTAAGTTAAACAGAGGATAATTCAACGACATGACTGCATTCAAGTCGTTTTCTGATAAAAAACGAGGTAAAAGACCTATAAACTCTCAAATAAAAAATATTATCGAATTATGCGCTCAAGAAACCAATCTTTGCATGCAAAAAACAATAAAAAAAAATCTTTCTGCAGCAGGCTTCAACATGTCTCAGCCTGTTATTTCAAGAAAACTCAAACGCTAGGATTTATCAAGAAAATGTGTTGTGTATGTGCTGAAGAACGAAACTCAACACCAGTTATTAATGCACGCTATGCATTTGCAAGCGAAATAAACAGAATTTCAAATGAAAAACTTATTTATTTGGATGAAACTGGATTTAATGTGCCTTTATTCATTCTTATATATGTGTTTATTTGTTCTTATATGCGCATTTATTCATTCTAATATGCTTGTTTATTCATCCATAGTGTGCACATTAAATTCAGTTTCATCCAAATAAATAAGTTTTTGCCCTCTATTTAACTTAACGATAAGATTTTGAACTGTGCGCTTTGATAAATAAAGAGAAGTGGAAATGCTTGTTGTAGATTGACTTCTTTCAATTAAATATTTAAGCATTTCAATATGCTCTTTTGTAAAATTTTTCCTTGTTTCACGATTGGTACTGCTATTTTCTATTCCATCCATAGGAATGTATAATTTGATATTAATAATAATTATAAATAATTAAATTTAAATCTAGATAAATGAATAATAAGATAAATAATAACTTAATCAATCAAGAAATTTAATAATAAAATTACAAAGTACTAATACTAAATTAAATAAACTATCATCGAAAACAAAGAACTAATACTAAATTAAATAAACCATTCTCAATTGTAAAAAGTCTTTGTTTTAAGTATTTTTAACCTCGTTTACTTGGAAATAAGAAAAATTTGTTTTGAAAAACTGTTTTTTTAAAACAAATTGCTTAAACGATTTTTGTTTGCTCAAATTGCTTTTTTACAATTGCTTTTGTAAAATGCATATAAGAATAAATAAAGGCGCATATAAAAATGAATAAATGCGCATATAAGAATGAATAAATGCGCATATAAGAATGAATAAAGACGCATATAAAAATGAATAAATGTGCATATAAGAATGAATAAAAGCGCATATAAAAATGAATAAATGCGCATATAAGAATGAATAAAGGCGCATATAAAAATGAATAGACACGCATATAACAGGGCGCGAAAAATTGTTTTTTTTTTAAATAAACGTTGACGTTCGTTTCTTTATTTATTGACGAACGTCTAATTTAAGAGGTATGTCAAGTATCCAACCCCCCCCCCACCTCCACACATACACACTTTTTTAAAAAATTTTTTATATATTTTTTTTATTTAAGAGAAATTCAAGATATAGAGGACTTTTTCAAGATAGAGGACTTTTTTCATTAATAGATAGTTGCGCACCTCCACTTCGAACCCGTGTGTCGGCCAGAATAAGCCAGTTTTATTTTAACTCCTTAAATTTTTTTTTTTAATTTAAATAATTTTTTTATTTAATTATAAGTTTTATTTTCAAATTAATTTTATTCTAGTTAATAAGATATATATTAATTAGATACATCAAAGATACTTATCGAATTTTATCAGTTTTTATTAATTTAAAACAATTTTTCACACATTTGCAAAGTGTGCGCAAATTAATGATAACTAATATGCAATAAACTTTTCACTGTAAACTAAAAAATAGTGAATTTTTCACAATTTAGTTTGTTAAATTATAAAAAAAAAATATAAACTTGATAAAATTTAGATAAAAGGGAACTATATAAAAATAAAATAAAAGTTATTTTGACATTTTTATTTTTTAAATATTTAAAAATAATATAGTATTAAGCATTTAATAAGTTATTAAATTTATAATTTAATAAGTTACTATCAAATACCTGATATGCTATTATTATATTTATAATATTAAGAATTTAATAAGAAAAATATTATTTTATTGGTTGTTGTTAAACGCACAGTAAAAAATGAAAATATAATCAACATAATAGTTCTATAAAATCTATTAAATTTTATATATTTCTGCAAATTTTTTTTTAAATTTTAAAACAGCAAATAAACATTAATTTAATGATAATAAGAAAATTTAAAAAAAACCCGCCTTTGGAAAAAGAATGTTTTAGCATGGTTCTGTTTAAAGTAATTGCAAATCCATTTATTTTAACTTCTTTTGTAAACGCATGTAAAAACCATGCTAAATATAATTTTTTCTACAGTTGCATACTTAAAAGAAACGCTATTGAAGAAAGTATTAGCACGGTTTTTTTTAATGTCATTGAAACTGCGTTTTAAATTTTAGTAACTTATTTTTTTTTATATTAATTATGTTTTTTTTTATAATAAATAAAAAATTATCAATCGCATAATTATTTGGAAATAAAATATTGCTGAAGATATGCGTTAGTTTTTAAAAAATTTAAGCAAACGCCAACGTTTGCTTAAGTAAAAGTAAGGAAACTTGACGTTCGTTTTTCTGTCTTTTTTTTTAACAAACGTTCGCACGTTCGTCGATTTGTCGTGCCCTGTATAAGAATGACTAACTCTGTAACAAACTAGAAATAATGATTTCGAAAGGAAGAATACTGCAAATCATTATTTGGAATAAAAAATTTAAAATGTGTAAAATTCTGAAAATTTGCAAATGAAAATTTTCGCAAAAAATTGCTGCAGGGGGTAATTCTAGTCTACTTTTACTCATCTTAGTTTCAATTTTTTAGTTTTCTTATAACTAATATAGATATTAGGGAGATAAATGGAATTTATATAAAAAGTTATTTTTACTCCACCCTAATATTCAATGGTATAGAGCAGCATCTGAAAGTAATTTTTATGAGCTAATTTTTAATTTTAATGATTTTTTTTTTTTTTTTGTTATTTACCTCCTCAAGGCCGAGAAGGCCACTAAGACGAGGAGGCTACTTAATAGTGGTTATAACCCTCTCTCAACTCTATAACTCCGAAACACGAACCTTGACGAACAAAGCCGCTGCATGGAAACAAGTTGAGCGCAGTACTACTAGGGACGTGGTGGGGATCGAACTCGGAACCTCTCGCTTATAAAGCGAGTGTTTTACCACTACACCACTACCGCATAATTTTTTAATCTAATGCCATTAAATTAAATAAAAATTTTTTTTTATTTTGAACTACCTTAGTATATCTAGCTGTAATAGTTTTTTTATTAAAAAAAAAAAAATTAATAGAATAAGTTTATAAAAGAACGTACTTTTGATTTGTGTCATAATTAATTCGTCTAACATATGGAAATGTGTTTCGTGACATCTAAAGAAATATAACCAGCACCACAAGCATAAAACAACTGTTTCATATAAAGTCAATTATATGATAAATAAAAATAAAGATGAAGAGCACATGGGAAAAAACAGAAAAGTCATAATTAAAATGTTTTATAAGTATATATTGATCATTTATAAAGTCTTTTATAAAAGTGTATAAAGTTAAGGAAAACAAATTTTACTAAAAATTTCAAAAATTTTACTAAAAATTTATTTGAATTAATCAAAAAATATATTTTTTTTTATTTTTATTATCAACTGAATTATATGAAGACATTTATAAATAATCAATATACACTTTCTCAAAACTTTTAAAATGTGACTATGCTGTATTCAACTGTGTACTCTACAAATTTGAACAATGAAAACATTTATATGCTTATTTTATATATATATATATATATATATATATATATATATATATATATATATATATATATATATATATATATATATATATATATATATATATATATATATATATATATATTATAGCTATATATATATATATATATATATATATATATATATATATATATATATATATATATATATATATATATTATAGCTATATATATATATATATATATATATATTATATATATATATATATATTATAGCTATATATATATATATATATATATATATATATATATATATATATATATATATATATATATATATATATATATATATATATATATATATATATATATATATATATATATATATGTATATATGTATATATATATATATATATATATACATATATATATATATATATATATACTATAGCTATATATATATATATATACATACATATATATATATATATATATATACATATATACATATATATATATATATAAATATATATATATATATAAATATATATATATATATATATATATATATATATATATATATATATATATATATATATATATATATATATATATATATATATATATATATATATATATATATATATATTATAATGACTTTTTCGCTAAATGGCTAAATCTAAGTGTAGTATCTGCCCTTATTTAGTTTCTAACTAGAGCTCTTAGGTCTGATCATCTACAACAAATGGAGGGTAAAAGTTTAGCTGCATTTCCATTGTACTCAAGAGGAGAGCAAATAATATATCCATACATTGTAAATATAATATATATAAATATAATAATAACAAATTTTATACACTAAGCTTATAAAAATATTTATACATAGTTTGTGTAACTTGGTGTATAAAAAATGAAGTTTAAAATATAATTAATTAGTGGGGAAAAAATATATAAATTTTAGTTTTAAAGGACTATTTAAAAAAATGATTTTATAGTACAAGTTTTTATTGCATTCTCTGTAAAAAACCTTCCAATCATGATTTTTCTTATTCAAGAGACAATCATTATATTATTAACAACATTAATATATTTTCAAAATCATAATAACTTTATTAAAAACTTAAGATGCTTAAAACTTATTTTTATCAGACAATTATTATTAAAAAAATTAATTAAAACCATCATAAAACCTTTTTTTTTTAAAGTTGAGTTGAGTTGAAGTTTGAGTATTAAAAAAAAACACTAATAAAATACGCTGGAACAAATACTTACAAGCTTCTCGGTAGAGTTTGAAATTGATGACGAGCTACATTCAGACCTAAGAAAGAAAAAAGAGTAATTACTTTGTACTAAAGTATTATGCCCAGAATATTAAAATTTAGTTCAAAAAAAATATATTGATATAAATCTACCAATAACCAATCTGTATATCATGAATATAATAAAAATAATTTTGCACTGTTAAGTTATAGCTTTACATTATTAAAGCAAAGATATATACAAAACTTTTAAATAATACTTTTATTTCAAATATTAAATTAGAAATTAAACAGATCTCTATAAAAATACTAAAACACAGTTATATAAAAAAATTATTAAAAACTTTATTGCAATTATAAATAAATCAAAAATTTCTTCTAACCCATTCTTCTAATAAAGTATTTTCTTCCACTCACATAATTAACAAAATAAAAAAAAATTGGATAATTAAAAGTTTCAAGTATTGACATCAGAGACATCATTTCAGGTGAGCAAGGAGCCATGGTTGCCTTTTATTTAAAAGTTATATGAGGGAAACATTAAAAATTAGGAATTTTTTCTTTTGTATAGACAATAGCTAAATGTTGTTTTTCATATTTTAGTTTAGTCACTTATCTTCTTTTTAACTTTTGCCAATTGGGTGCCATGATTTACAATATATGATTGAGCCAAGTCCTCTTTAGCTTAAAATATGAATAAAATAAATATACTAAACATAAAAAACCATCACCACCCCCTAACATTTTCAATCTCTCTATTACAAATGTTTGTGGTCTTTGAAGCAACATTCATCATTTAAATGCTATCTCTGGCAAAGTTCACCAGACCTAAATACTCTTTTTGGAAACTGAGAAACTAAATGTAACTGTTTAGTTTCTCCTTGTTAACCTTTAGATATCTTTTATCTCTACTGATAAATGCTTCCTATGTAATTTTCTGGATCCAGATATGGAAACTTTCCCTTCTCATTGGTTTCAAGTATAGTCTCATGGTTATCTACTTTATGGTTTTTAACTTTGTGTCAGCTGGTATTTCTGATCATGTTTGCTTTTTATCTTTTTCACAAGAATTTTTTTTCACAAGAACAAGTCTTTTTATTATTGCAAGAAATCAATGTAAAAAGGCGCTGCCTGACGCTAAGCTCCAATATTCTTAGTTTAGTATATCTCAAAAGGTTCTAATGACTTTTGGAAAATCTTTAACAGTATCATTAATAAAGATAAATCTAATATTCTATCTTTAACTCATGGACCTTATCTTAATATGGGTTTACAGTCAAGTTATACAGACAGTATGTGGTAGACAGTTATACAGTCAAATTTATACAGGACTGCCCCAACCGTGTTGACCTTTAAGCATACCAAAATAAAAAGAATTTCAGTGAATTTCAGCATTAAATGTCCTATTTAAATTTGAAATTAAAATATGAATTACGATATTGTCATTAAAGTTAAATTTAGTAACTTAAATAATGAATTTTTAAATAATTCCCACACAAAAAAAAAACAAGAACAAAAAAAACGTGTCACATCTCTAATAATATTTGGGCTGGTTTTTCTAGGTCCAAAACGGATTGTAAATGTAATTAGACCTGCTCTACTTGCCAAGCTTGAGCTTCTCTTTCATCTTCTTTTTTTACTACTAACAATAAGCTATCATGTTTAGTTCCATCAACCAATACTCATTGATGGCTTACTCCCTGCATATTTCAAGTTAGATTTTTTTAATATCAATTAACTTATTTACATGGTAAAATACAGTAAGGACATTTGGTGCAAGAAATAATATCAAGTTAGATTTAGACTTTTTGAAGTTTTTATATTTCTTAACTAAGTCACTAAATGTAATTCCAAAACAGGCTAATCTAAATAAAACTAATTTCAACATTTGAAAGATGTCTATAAAATCAAAAACTCTGGAAAAATAGAGGCTTGTTCTGTCATGCGCTGAAGAAGTTCAACTTTGTAAAGTAATTTGTGGCAAGTGTTTACAAAAAACTTCTTTAATCATCTTTTGCTCTCCTAATCATCTTTTAATGTTTTAAAGAAATAGTTGATAACACCAAAAAAATAAAATTCTATTGATAGGATCAGTTCTAAAATGAGTGCTTGAACCACAAATGATTATGGAAAATATTGGCTTTTTTTATGTTACCACCATACTTTTATTAGCTTAATAGCATCTCATGACTGATTCCAGTCCGCAAGTAAATCAACTCCGGTGTCAAAAAATAAAATTCTATTGATAGGATCAGTTCTAAAATGAGTGCTTGAACCACAAATGATTATGGAAAATATTGGCTTTTTTTATGTTACCACCATACTTTTATTAGCTTAATAGCATCTCATGACTGATTCCAGTCCGCAAGTAAATCAACTCCGGTGTCAATCTTTATTAAGTGCAGGGATAGAGTAAACTTAATAACAAGTGCTAAAATATTAGCTACATTTCAAGAAGTTAATTGTGTGATTTAATTCTATTTAATTATAGTAATTTTAACTATAGTAAATTTAATTATAGTAATTTTAATATTGTTTACAATCTAAATGGTCAATAAAACATTTTAAGAGAAATAATCAAGAGATATAAACAAATAATAAACTTTGTAACTATTTGGCAATTAGCAACTAAATGGCTCTTTCACAAATTTTTCACAACTTAGTTGATTTAAATAATCAATAAATTATTTAACACCAAATCAAGATAAAATTCAAACAATTAAATTTAATACAAATTTGAACAATAAATTTCAAGCAATTTAAGGATCAAATAGAACACCATGATTTAAATCGGACCTAAATATTAGAGATGGAAGTTTATTTCTTATTTTGTTAACACTAGAGTCTTTTCATCAATAATAGATACCTAACTATTAACAATCTATATTGTTAATTAAATAATAAAAATTAAACAAATTTTATTGTTAATAAAAACATGTTTGTTGTTTTGTTAAATAAATAAACTAAACTAAGATAATAATAAACTAAAATAAGAAAAATATAAAACTAATTATAATATTTCCATAATTTATAATCTAATCATAAATTATTCTTTAGTTAATAACAAATTGATCATTAATTTTAAATTAGTCAATTATTATTCCAAATTTAATCACAAATTAATTATAAATTAAGAATAGACTATTTATAAATTGTTCATAAACTATTCATATATTATGTATAATTGATCAAAATTATGCACTTTTATGTTAAATCTATGACATAAAACAATAATGCTTGTAAACTAAAAACAATGAAACATACACATTTTCTGATTTAAAACAAGGTGTTGATTGTGTACGCCTGTTTCCAATTACACTATGAAACTTACTACTACTGGATACCTTAGAAACAAAAAAAATAATTAGATAATGAATATTTAAAAACAATATATAAATAAAATATAAGTAAAAGATATATTTTCACTTTTTAAGTTAAAAATGACATACTGCATTTATTTGAGTTGAAAATGGAGCGCATGACTTTCCACTCTCATGAAAACTAATTTAAAAAAAAAATAATTAAGAAAAAAAAATAATAGAAAACTTTTAAGTTTTATTTAAAATTACTTGTCTTTTGCACTTTAGGCATTTTATTTCATCTTACTGCAAACTACTTGATACAGCATCTATTAAAAATTCATTACATAAAAAGTAAAAAAATCTTCTGTAACCCAGAATTCTTCTCCAAGAGGCATCACTGAGTTGTTTCAGGTTATCTATTTACTTGTTCTTGATTATATAAAGTAAACATATTTAAATTTACTTAAATTAATTTATGATTTTTATTACTTTAAATCAGCATTCTGAAATTCTTTGTCTCAGTAAAACCTGTTTTGTAAAAACTCTTTGTCTCAGTAAATTAGCAAGTCTGTACTTCAAGCAGCACTTGTAAAACCTGTTTGCTGCATTAGAAAAAATTAGCAAATTAGTATGTATTTCAAGAAACACTTTTAGATCATGTTTGCTGCATTAGAAATGTTATACACTCTCCAAAGAAAACTCATTTCATAAAAGAATGTGTTAACTCTTTTGTGAAAAGCTCCACAAAAGAATTAAACGCATTCTTTTGTGAAACTTTTTTTCTTGCCTTTAACTAAATCTTTTGAATTCGACATTCCTGTATGGTATGCATGTTGGAAAAGACTTCATTATGTAAATTTGGCTTTATATAAACTATTTAAAAAATTTTTATAGGATAAGATTCAGCTTTGCTTAAAGCTTAGCTTTCAAAATCTGTCATTAAAATCAATATCATAATTTGAAATACTCAACAGAAAATATTACAACAATTGAGTTGAAAGACAACTGTTTTTAAAAATGATTTCACTTGTAAGGCACTTATATTAACAAGTGAAATCATTTTTAAACAACAGCAACTGAAATATAGAAGATTATTGCATAATATCATGTTAAAAGTAGTAAATTCAAAAAAATTGATAAACAAACCTTTGTTTTATTGACAAATTCGGACTTCCATTTTGCTATAAACAAATTACTTTATATTTAAAATAACAAATTCTTTATTAAATATTTAAAATAAAATGTAAACTTTTCTATAAATTTTGAAAAAAAATTCTTTAAAGTATATAGAAAGTTACTTAGCAAAAAATACTTAACAAATAAATTTTACATACAAAAAAATTCAAAGCATAAAAATTTCCCAACATTTAATTAAAAGTAATTACATACTAATTACTTTTAATTAATAAATTACTTATATCTAAAAATATTAAACTCATGGAAATAGTTGACTAATCTTTTTTTTAGTGACATTTTATGTAATAATTATGTACATAAAAAAATGAAAGAAATGGAGTTTATTATTCAATGTTTCTGGATGAGAATTACATAAGAGATTATCAATCAAAAAAGATTCTTATGCAATCATTGCTTATGTTTGATTCTATATGCAATAGTTTAGCATTCATGAAAGAATACTTTTTTTTTCTTTCAGATTAATGTTAGAATTGATACAATAACTTGAAGAAAAGATAAATCTTTAATAATATCTAATATTTAAATATCATATTAGCAGATAAAACAGTTTTAATCTTGTTATTACTTGGAAACTTTAATTAAATATTTAGACTAATGTTTTAATGAATTAATAGAATATAGAAATTAGAAATGACTGGAAATCTTTTATAACTACTTTAAAAAAAAACAAAAAACAAAAAACTTTTAATTTGGTAATGAGGTTATTAGTTAATAATTTTAAACTTATTTTTTATTTTAATATAATTTAAAAAAAAATTCCTACCATCGTTTTATAACTGTAAGACATTAAAAATTATCAGAAAAACTCTTTACTTGCATTTGTAAAGCAGGTTTTACATCTCTTAATAAACTTTGATAAAACTACAAATACTTTACTTGTATTATACAGTTATTTGATTATTCTGGATAAACAAGTAACAATACCTGTTTTTCGAGTATGTTAATACCATCAGGATTATCATCAACACTAAAAAAAAAAATGTAAAAAATAATAAAATTTGTATTAGTAATCAAAATATATATATATATATATATATATATATATATATATATATATATATATATATATATATATATATTTTAAAATAAACATTGTTTAAATCATCTAAAAATGCCACTAATTTTATTTTATCTTTAAAAAAAAAATATTAAATTACATTTGAATATATGTAAACTTGTTTAATACTTTAAAATATAAAATGGTAACAAAAAGTATTAAGTTCTAAAAATACTTTTACAACTGAACTTTTATATAGCAGATTACAAGTATAATCTGATGTTTTAAACAAAGCCTGGATAGGAATTGAAGTATCTATAGTAATTACTGATAAACATTTTAATTAAAGCTTTTGAATCATAAAATGACTCAAAAACCATGTACAAATGATGTCAAGTCATGAACTTCTATACATAAAATGAAGTTATACTTTGCATAAATCATTTATTTATTCATACCATATTTATAAACTTGCATAAAAAAAATTATTAATGGCAGTGTGTCATTTAAACTGATATAAAATCACATAGATTCAACATAAAAACACACATTAAATATATATATATATATATATATATATATATATATATATATATTTAAAAAAATAATAATCACAAATGTTTTATAAAAAATAATATGCATACAACACTAAGTGATTTACCTTGTGACAGAAGAATGACCAGGTGATGGAGGATCCTGTCTTGATTCATCAGTCATACCATAATAATCATAGAGGAAACTTACTTGATTATTCATATTTTCTTCACTAGGATTAGCTAATAATGGTGAAGGTGATAGCAAATCAGGCATTGAAAAACTTGATTTCCATATTTTATCTTCAGTTTCTCTAACAAAGGCTGGGGTAAGATAAACAAAACTTTCTTCAGGTGAGGATTCAGATTCTGATGGAAGTTCATTGATCTTCTTGAACATACTCGTCATCTAAATACCTCACTAATCCACACCCATAACTATTTTGCTAAAAAAAAATATATGCATTTAAAAGCTTTATAAAGTAATTATATATCAATAACAAAAAGAAAAAAAATTATTTCAATAAAGCTGCTTTTTCAAATTTAGTATAATTACAATAGAAAAAAGGAAACAAGTATAAAAAATTATAACAATTTATTATGATAGTTAACTAAAATTATTTAGGCCAAAAAAACTTTGAAATAAAAAAAAAAACATTTAAAAATGTGACAATGATACACTTTATTATGACTAAATAAAAGCCAGTTCATAAGAAATATGCAACTTGCTATCTTTAATTTGAAAAAGATTTTATAATCAATAGTATTTTAAAACATCATGTTTTAAATATTTTTTTATAAACATTTTACATTCATTTAGATAAACCTACAAAGTTATCAATTTAGTATATATGTTTAAACCCCCTGAAATTCTTTGTTTCTGAATGTTGCTTAAAAAAACATTGTTAAAATATTATTGACAATAAACACATGATTGTTGCAAAACAAATCTTTTTACAATAAGTTCTTTTCAATTTTTGAAAACAAACATAAAGATTTGAACCCGTCAAGATTATCAACGAATTAAAAAGAAAAAATTATCCTTTAAAAAAATTCAAATTTTAAAAAAACTCAGCACTAACACACATAAGTAAAATAACTTTTTTTTTGAATTCTGTATCATATAAATCTCTTGTCACATTAGTGCTTTTCATAACAATAAAAATAAAAAGATGATTATGTGTTCTCATAAAAAAATCAATCTAACATAGAAAATAAAAAATCATTTAGCACAAAATAACTAATACATGTTATCTACGAAAGTTAAAAAGTTATGTGAAAAAGAAGATTAAGAACTTTTAAATTGTATTATTTTAGCGAAATTATTTCAAATAATTCATGGCTTAAATGTTTAAAAATATCTTTTTACCCAATAAATTACATTGTAATTTCCAACTTCTGTAATATACAGTAATTTACAGTGCTAGCTAATTATTTACAGTGCTAGCTAATTATTTACAGTGCTAGCTAACTATCAGATTAAAAAAACTGAAATTACTTTGTAGCTTCTTTATTTCAAATTCATAAAAAAGTTATTATGATGAATATTTTTTTTAAAACAGAAATTCTGCTGAAGGTATATTAGTCTATTACTAGAATATTATTTATATAGTTACGCTTAAATTAAAAAAAAAATTCCTGTTATTAAATAATCAAAACCATTTTACTTGTTTTATATTTGAGTTTTGACTTAAAACTCTTGAAGATTTTAGGTTATATACTAAAAACAAAACAATTTACATTCCATTATCATCTTTCTTGATTTCTAGATTTATGACAAGTTTAGACAGGAGAAAATTATAAAGATACAAACAATTGCATTATTGAAAATGCAATATCTTTTTTGTGTGAATTCATATACTTTCAATACATTATTTCTTTACTTACAGGTTTTTATCTGACAGTGCACACAATATATTAAGGAGTAAAGCTACTCCTGAAATGAAAATGTCAGAAATAAAAAAAATTCACTAAAAAAAATCAATAAAAAAAAGAGGACAAGACTGAATTTTCTACTGTCATTGAAAAGAACTTTTCAATGAAAGAAGATCAAAATTGATCTTCTTTCATTGAAAAATGCTCTTCAAAATAATATTGGACATTTGGTTATTTCATCTATATTAGCTATATATAATAGCACAAAAAATATTTGTATTAAATGTAGCCATAGATTTCATGAGATTATTGTAAAGCCTAATTTACATTATTTCATGTAAATTTGGCTTTACACACACTATCTCTTTTAATATTTAATAGAAGGAAATAAAAAAAGTTAATTAGTTGATCAGATTATTTAAATGGTTGTCTACCTTTAATATAAAATAAAAATTATCAATGCAATGTTTTTTTAAAGAATTTGAATAGGTTGTAGATGTTTGTGTTGGCGGTAAAGTGCAGAAGAAGCCATACTTAAATAAAACCTTCAACAAAACAAAAAAATTAGGAATTATTTGACAAAACAACTGTATTGAAAACCAAGACTTAAATTTGTAAGTGATAAACTTCTTTATTAAACTTTGTTGACGATTTTACAATATAAAATAATTTTCCAAAATGAAATTATTTTATTTTATAAAAATGAAATGACCTCATTTTCAGAAAATGAAATTACTTCATATGGTAAAATAGTCAACAAATGATTTAAACCAGCACTACCAAAAATAAAAAAAAAATTGAAAATGTTTATGAGTTTACTGATCTGCTTATTGAAATATATGCTGAATAAGTTAAGGGGAAATGGAGTTATTTTTGAATGGAGAAAAAAAATTGAAAAGATAAAGAAGGGGAATAGATAAAACAAGGCAAATACAGGTTTTTCAAATCAATCATAATTTGGATTTAAGAAACTGTAAAGTTTTAATCTAATAATTATATTGTTTAGAAAATTAAACATGTTCAAATAGGTGTCCAGATTTTTGAAGTAGTTTTAGTAAAAAAGAAAAAGAATTTAAAATACTGTCACAAAATTATCCAAAGGCAATGCTATGTGCTTAGTCGAATCACAAAGCTAGACATTGATTTTGCTATTCATTGGAGTTTATATTGGATAGTTGTGAAAAAATTCTAATAATGAAATCTGCAAAAATTTAAGGTCATACAAACAACTGCAATAGATGATTAAACTGTAGAAATAAGACTGTAGAAATACAGGAGATAAATATTACACAGGTGCATTGTCACTACTGTTTTACCTATAAAAATATAAGAAAAAAATAGGAAAGGTTTTTTTTATACATTTAATTAATTTGGATATTATAAACCTTAAGTAAATTAAGAGTAAAATGATGTATGTTCGTTTAATTAAACCTATACCTTTGTGTCAGTTGTTGTATATACCTTTATTTATGCCAACCCATATGTTAATCATTGATTGTCGTCTTAATACATTTAAATAAAATCTACACAGCATTGCCCCAAAAAATGTATTTTAATTTAAAAAAATGTAATTCTATTACTATTGTTAAAAATGTTATTTTATATTATATGTTATTAACTAAATGAAAAAATTGTAAACTTTATTGATGTACATATATAACTGATATACTAAACTAGTTTGATGTAATATAGAATGTAACAATCTAAGTAAACTTTAATATAAAATAAAAACTAAATAAAAAGATACATAATATAAAAAAGATTTCTGTAAATGATTAACATAGTCTTAAATATAAGCTTGTTGCCTTCTTCAGTAGCAATGCAGCTGTGCATGCAGTAAACAGAATTATTAATTGATTATGTTTATTTTAACTATGGACCTTATACTAAACTTGTTGTCTGAATCGAATAAATAATAATAATAATAATAATAATAATAATAATAATAATAATAATAATAATAATAATAATAATAAGAGTACATTTTAAAAAGATGTATTAGTGTTTTAGTATACATTTCAAACTTTAACATCATATCATAGTATTCTCCTCAAATTTTTAGACTTAATTTTATAATATTCTTAATTAGCATAAAATTCCTAATCATAATTCGTCATAGAAAGATGGATAGGAAACTAAAAGAGTGCCAAAAATCTCAATTCATTTCTAAAAAGATTGAACGGATTCATCAAATCAGTTTAATATAATACAAATCGTGTAGTAATGCAAACTTAATTTATACTAAAAATAAAAGAATGGTGTCTTAGTTAAAGGATAAATGAAGTTATTTTAACTAAATTTATACTAAAAATGAAAAAAATGGCGTCTTGATTAAAGGATAACAGGAGTAGCGTTTTAAATAAAACAAAAACGTACGGAATTGAAACAAATAAAAAAATGGACAGTATACGCAAAAATTCTTGTTAAAAACAAATAAATTACCAAAATATAATTACACCTAAAGCTTTAAAACTAATTATCTAAAAATACATCCAATAGTAATCTAAAATAAAACAAACAAAAATTAATTTACTTTAAAAATAAAATAAAGAATTGCCTGAAATTTAGTAAATTTAAATTTGAAAATTGATATTTACCTAAATAAAGTGTACAGATTGCACACAGAGCTTTTCAAGATTTGCATTTATATTTCGCTCGTATAACAACGGAAATAGTAAGCAAGATTTTATTATCCGATTTTTAAAAAAACGCATGGCTAAACGAGACAGTACAAAAAAAAACAGTTATTTTTATTTTTTATATAAAATAAAAATAAATATTTTTATATAAAATAAAAATACTGCCAAGTTTAAATAAAGCACGGTTGTTCGTATAAATCTTTTATTTTTTTATTTTTTTTTAATTTTCTTTATTTTTGTCAAGCAACCATTTACTATTAAAGGTAATTTTCGATAAAATATTTAAAAATATTAAATACAAGTACATTTCATTATTTATAACAGTTACGAGACCGGAGAACCTGAAGCTAATAAAATCTAATCATCAGTAACCTTCGGTAATAAAAATTGGAAATAAAAGTGTATTGTTAGAAAAAGTCATGTAAAATATCTTGATTGGCAATAAGTTCAATTATGTTCTTTTTAAATTTTTGAGAGGTATTGGCTTCTTTAAGTTTACCACTCAGGCTTGTAAAATGGTTCCATAGCATTAGGCCACGATAGGAAATGGCAAAGCTCGTAAGTTTTGATTTACGGAAAGGTTTTTTAAATCTTCCGGTAGATCGTGTGTTGTATCGGTTTAATGTTTTATGGAAAATATTTTCGATTTTTTCCGAATTTCCGCGTTTTTTTTTTTGTTTTTTTTTTTTGACTGATGTTGAAACATAAATTGTGTAATTTTGAAATTTAGTTCATAAATATCAAGTGCTTTTTAGAAGAGGTTTAGCATTTGTGAAGCGATTTTGAAAATGAATAATGCTTGCTGCATGATTCTGTTGTTTAAGGAGACAGTCAAGTTTAGATTTATTTGTACTACCCCAAACAATATTGCCATAAGATAAATAACTATTTATGAATGCAAAATATAATTGAGTTGGTGTAGATTTGTCTAAGATTTGTCTGGTTTTATATAAAATGTCAATACTTCTTGAGATTTTATTGCTAATATGTTTAACATGATCTCTCCAGGAATGATTTTCGTCTATTAAAATACCAAGTAATTTATTTATGAATGAGCGCTCAATTTTGATGTTATTTATATATAGCATTGGTAAGGATTTTGGAATATATTAAAACTTTCGTTTAGAATGGAATAAGGAAAACTTAGTTATATCAGTGTTTAAAGATAGGCTATTAGCGATAAGCCAGTTTGATATTATTGGCGATATTGATACGCCAAAAATTTAGAAATATGACACCATAACCTTCCCTGTTGCTTTCCCTGTTATTGTTGTACCATGCGTACTTTTAAGTCCTTCATGCGTACTTTTAAGATCTTTTTTTTAAGAAAAAAAAATTTTGTTTTGCTCCTCCTTTTTTATTTTTTTATTTTTGGCGTTTTATAATTGATTCTACCTCTCCAATGAATACTTAATTGTACGCTTTTTGTTGTAAAAGATCAATTTTTCCAAGAAATTTTTTTATTTTTTATTTTTATCCGTTTACGCCCGGGGTAAGATCCTTAAGCCTCCGTCTCTCGCTACTAACCCTAAAAGCCTTGGTCTCAATTTGAAAAACATGTTTGCACAAAAAAATAATTACATAAATTTGATTTGTTTTACTTAAGAAATAAATTACGTTTACTTAAAATGCGTTAACTTCTTAAAGAAGTTAGCATAGCCAAGTGGATTATACTTCGATGTCAAAGATTGGGAAATCGAGTCCCAGTCTTGTCATTTTTCTACTTTTAAATGTAGTTTATTTTTTTTATTATTCAAAAAAAAATTGTTTTAGTCGGTGCACATTTCAGCAGTATTTCTTTATTGACAAAAAAAATAAATAAACTTTACTCATGGCTCGCCATGAGTAAAGTACGTGAAGTACACGTCGTACTTTATGTGTACTTAAGGCACTCTCTTTAGTTTATCGATAAAAAAAAAGTGATATTTGAAATCAATATTATTTAAAGCTATAGTCTAAAACCTGTTTTTTGCGTGCTTATAAAAGAGTTTGTCTGATTTACACGTGCAAACATTACCTTTGAATTTTTTTTTAGTTAGTGCGTGTGTACTTTTATGTTAGACTACTCTCCCTCTCCATACACTTTTGTACACTATTTGTACACACCCCTCCCCAATGGGCGTACGTTATGGACAATTAAGTGTATAAGTCAAGTTAACATGAAGACGGAAGAGAATTCAATTCATACAAGAAAAAAAGTTAAATAAAACTTTAAGAGCATTATGGAATAATTACCGTGATATACGCAGTTATAATATCGTCGTTGTAAGAACGAAGCAAAAATACGTCATTTTACAAGTAACAACCGTCGTAAACAACGATTGTTTTTTTTTAAGAAGCTATGTCACTATAGTGACAACTTTCAATTTAATTAACGCGTAACTATTAAAAGTTAACCAATCACATATTCCTCTTAATCAATGGTGCTGTTTTAAAATGTCGTAATCAATCAAAGCATTGCTACAAGTTAATAAAAATTCGTAAATGATATTTAGAGTAAATTAATTGTTATTTTTTTACGTTGTATTTTTTAACAACTAATAATAATTTCTAGATTAGAATTGAATTAATAAATGTCTAGATATGGATAGGTAGTATTTTTGCCGTAGAATTTTATATCTCTTTATTTAAAATGTAACATTTTGTTTTTAAATCTAGCAAAAATACAAGAAAACAAAATAAAATATTGAACGTTACAAACTTATAGCTAACGGGAAGCAAAAAAATTTTAAAAAGGGTTTAAACAAGTAGTAAAGATTCTCGGTAAAGCTACAGTTAAGCGGTTTAAAATAGTTTTTTTTTTGCTTCTTGCTCTCTTGTAAGTGGAGGCTTTTTACACATAAGGATTATTAATTGGAATAATAAAAGGAAGAGAAAAAAAAATGCTGCCCTATGCTAAACTCTCAATAGATGCAGCAGCAGGCTATAAGACAGTCGATGTAGCAGCACTCTCTTGTAGCAGCAAGCAGGCCCGCACTGAGACTTTTTGGTGCCCAGGGTCAATTTTTTTGTATGTACTCTAAACTTAGGATTCCTGGGTTATTGAATTAACATGAATTTCACTGCTTATTGTCCGTATGTCTACTATCACATTACAATTTAATGAAAACAATAACTATAAACTATCGCTGCACATAAAAACTCTATATTTGAACTTGGTTATATATGATAAAACGAAAATACAAATTCAATTTATAATGAATGCAATTATATATTTCATTAATACAATTGCAATTATGAAGACTAGTCAGATCACACTAATTTCACTTTGTTGGCTTTCATCTTTGCAAAAAGAGATGACATTTTTGTAAGATAAAGTCTTGGCAAGGTCGTTTTCAATTGAAATCACCAAAAAATTAGTAAGGTGTTTTTCAGTCATTGTTGATTGCAATTTGAATTTGATGAGGGCAAGCTTACTGAAACCGAGGTTGTATTAAAATGCGAAGCAAAATGCAGATCAAAGGAAATATTGACTGAAGACCTTTCTGGTAGATTTCTGTTGAGCAACTTGATAAAAGTTTTAGATTCAGATTCTATTTGTCCAAAAGTATTTGATCGTTTCAGAATATCTAGATGACAGATTTCTTCAATCAATTCCTCTTCATTCACATAATTTACGTAGAGATTTGCCGGGACTTTGCATTTTTCTTTCTGAATAAGTTTTTCATCATCACTAGAAGGAGATGGAGAACACCATATAAACAAAAACATACTCGTCTTTTTTTGAGCTGCATCCATTCTATAACATATCTGCTGGAGCAGCATGTCAAGAGCAACATTAAATACGTTCACCTCAAATCACTTAAATTCTTCTTCGTGGAAGTGGGCTGTGTTCATCAACTTACCGTTAAATGATTTCTTTTTCCTTGTCCTCTTTGTAACAAAATCATTTTGAAACACATATGAAGCTGACCCAGATGCAAGTTTTTTCGCTTCTCGGAGGAATTGGGTCCAAGACATAGTTTATCAAGATTGGCTAGTGTCTATTAAAACTTTGCTAATTCATCCAAAGAAATGCTTTCTGATTGAAGAAGGAGACAGACATTGTTGACACATTGGAGAGCATTGAACCAGGAAGAAGTCAAGACAATGAATTCAAATGATTGAATCCACTTTTTGAGTATTTTAACTAAAGTCAGTTGATGATCTTCTAAATCAAGTTCTTCAAGAACTTTCAAGGGTTTCAGCATTTCTTTTAGCCGTTTCGACAATGGCCGCACAGCCTCTATGCGCGCCTACTATTTTGTTTGTTTCCTTTGGTGAAGTGACTGCCCAGTTGCCTTAGTCAAAGTTTTCCAGCGGATAGGGCTACTACTAAAAAGTTTATACAACAACTGGATGTTGCCAAAATAGTTTTTGACTATAGTAGAGAATTTTGAAAAATGAACGCCGGCTAGATTGAGACTATGCGCATCACAAGGCATAAACAAAACTTAAGGATATTTCTTAAGAATGATAGCCTGCACTCGTTTGCATACAACAGACATATTATCCCCGTTATCATAGCTCTGGCCCCTCAGTTATTTAAATCAATTTAGCTTTGATCCAAAACGTCTATAATCAGCTTCACAATGTAAGAACCTTTTTTTCCTCCAGATTTTCTACCTTCAGAAAACGCTCTTTTAAATCCATTGGTTATCAGAGGCGGACAAATTGAAGAACGAAAGTGATTTGATCTGTGTAAGACATGTCCGAAGTTCCATCAATAATAATGGAAAAATAAATGGCTGTGTGAATAATAATAAATCAATAATAGAAGCGAAAGCAGTTTCACCACATGCCATAATGAACTCATTTTGAGTTGTCTAGCTCAAATAGTGGGCTTACATTCTTGTTCCTTGTTTTTAGTGTCGAGAAACTTCTTCTAGATAGAATATTGTGTTACCCCAACAGCTCAAGGGTGGCTAAAAAAATTCCCATTATCATACTTGTCCAGCATGTTTGATGAACCTACACAAATTCATAATATTGAAATAAAGATTAAATTTAGATTAATATTCCAATTAAAGTTAAATTTATTTTATGAAAATAAACTG